CCACACGTACAACTTTTGGTTGTCTATTTTAAGTAGTCTGCCTGAGTTCTACACTAGCCGCCATGCCTGCAATCTAATTAGGAGATTACCTATTTAAGCTCTCTGACTATTTACAAGTGTATAGTTATTATTATTATTATATTATTATTATATTATTAGTATTAAATTATTAGTTATAGTCAATTATATCTAGAATAGAAAAGATTCTATTAAGTAATAGAATAAGGTACAGTAATACTATAGCCAAGTATCTCTAAGTGCCTTTGTACAAGTGCCTCTAAGTACTTCTGCACAAGTGCCTCTTAGTGCCTCCGAGTGCCTCTACTATAGTACCTCTAAGTGCTTCTACTACAGTATTTCTAAGTGCCTCTACTACAGTATCTCTGAGTACCTCTACTATAGTATCTTTGAGTACCTCTACTACAGTGCTTCTGAATGCCTCTATATGGTTAGGCAATAATATTGTTATATTTCTATCTGTTGAAAAGTTATAAAAAAGGAGCCTTTGCTCCTCCTGCCAAAGTTAGAGTTTCCTACCCTCTTATAAAAATTAGCTCCACCCCTTTACTCTTCTCTATTTGTAAAGTGTGATATTCCTCCTCTAGGGTAATTTCTACAGACAAGATTATCACTATGAATTGTTATTAATAAATATTATTGTTTATAAACTATTATTATCTCAAACCATTTGCCTTCTACTGTGAAGTTAAAGTATACACTTCACGTCCACCCTGTGTATATTTATAAAGTATATTACTGCACCAGGTGATCTTGTTACTTTGCTATATTTATACTAAGAAGGCTATAGCATTGTAACAATAGTAGTAAAATTATTAAAATTAGTTAAGTATTTATTAAAATAAATATATTTAAATTTTAGATATTATTTTTTATCATATAATAATCATATGATATGAACCAATCAAAATCAATATTTTCATATAACCTAGAGAATTTGAGATCATCTCAGAGAACTTTGCAATATATACAAGTATATTTTTTTTAAATATTTTAGCTATTAAAATTTATACTACTATAAAGAATATATTCTAATTTATTTATTACAAAAATTTTATAAAAATTAATTGCAACTGTGAAAAGTTTTATTAGTAGCATAGTTCTATTTTTTGCAAAAATCACGTTGTACCACAAATATCATATGATAAATGATCGACATGCCCTCTACTCTTAAGTTTCATAGACGGAAGTTCGTCTGATTGGCTAATAAATTCAACCTTATTTATACAGTTTAAAGTACTTTTTGAAAAAAAAAACTACGAAGAATAAACAAAAAAAAAACATATAAAAAGTTTTATTAGGGTTATAGGACTCTAAATCAATTCTGGTTTTAGAGAAGTTAGCATAATAGTGACTTCTTAAAGATAGGTTATTACCATGCTAACTTCTCTAATACCAGAATTGATTTAGATAACCCTAATAAAACTTTTTATGTTTCTTTTTTGTTTATTCTTCGTAGTTTTATTTTTTCTAAAAAACCGTATAAATAATGTAAAATTAAATTGAATTTATTAGCCAATCAGACGAACCTCTGTCTATGAAAGTTTGTTATTCTAAAATATGGATAAATCCGGATCGAGATGTATACAAATTGGATAACAAACAAATAAAAAAGAATCAAATAAAGATTTTTATTTATTTACAAATAATCATAAAAATCTCAATGCATTTCATCTTTTTGATGAAATGGTAAAGGCTTTAAAGCTCTATGTTTCCAGGGTATGGAGGTGATGAAAGTTTTATCGTATCCTGATTATCATCTTCAAATGGGCAAAAAACGTATTTTGCAATTTTACCAATTGAATAGGTTGTCAATGAATCACTAATAAGTGTCACTAATTCTCCAACAAAAGGGATTGCAGATGCCAAATTGATAATTCCTTTATTTTCTGCCACCCTGGTAAACAATTTCATAGCTACACGCTTGTTAATAGCTGCTAAAGTTGAATCATGGATATTCGAAATCAAATTTTGCATTAAAGCCTTGGCAAATTCTTTCGTTGTTTCAGTCATTGAATTTTTTACCCCATCGGATGCAATACATAAATATATTAATGCTCTTACAGCATCATCATTTGTATCCAAATTTGCTAAAGATGCAATGGATTTTACCATATGAATCTGAATTGCTATTGCGCTCATAATGTTAATTAACACGTTAATCTTCATGTCCACCCCAAAACTCTTTGAAGCGTGATTTAAAACTGTTGAGGATAAACCGGCTGATAAAGAATTATAGAATATTGATCTATCTGCAAATTTATGAAAAGTTTCATTATTTGTGGTACATGCGGATGATGAAAGGTACGTATCTACTACTTGTGTTGAGCGGATTGCTAGTGAATCAAGTATTATTTGTAAAGGTGCGTATCGCGGTGCATTAGGGGAAAATTCTTCTTCGGTGCGAAAATATGGCACTTCTTTATCAACTGACTCATAAATCGCGTCAAGGATAATATTGGCACTTTGAATATCCATTTGTTTCTCTGAAGCCGTATATATGTATTGTCCTGATACATCCCCTTGTCCATCAGGTATTTCGATATGACTTGCTAATTTCATGGCATTATCCGGCGTTGTCAAATTTTCGTACACACGAAAAGCTTCTCCTTTTGTACAATTTATAGCAATACTAGAAGACCAATCGTGTAATTCTGAGAAATTTCCTTTTACGCCTTCGTTCGCGATAGTAAAGTCAAATTCTGCTTGTACTATTTCGAGCAGCTGTGTAATATTGAATTCTTTATGTAATTCGGTTGAAACTTTAATTATTCCAAATGTCATTATAAGAAACGAAAGTACTTGCAAATATAATGCAATAGAATAATATGTTGCCATATTAAAGTATTATTATAACGGAGAACAAATTTATATAAAAAAATTTCCAGTTCTCAATTCAGCAATTTAACGATAATGTTGAATGATTATCGTACGTTACACCTGCACATGATATTTATTTACATTCAAATTTTAGTTAACTGTTAACTTAAAATGCCTACCGACATTCTTTTTTCTAGCGACCTTATCTCATCTGACGTTCAGGCCGCCTTACCCAAAGGCTACACCATCAGACCTTTATCCAGCGAAGACTATGAAAAAGGCTTTCTTGACGTTCTAACTGTGCTCACAACCGTTGGGGACATTTCTAAAGCGCAGTTTCTCGGTAAATCTAATGTCATATTTCTAAAGGCTTACTTCATTCATTAACGAACCTTTTTACATTTACAGAACGATTCTATTACCTCAAAGCCCATAGCCATGAATATTTTACCCTTGTGATCGTTTCTCCTGAGGATCGAATCATAGGTGCTGGGACAATTTTTGTTGAACGCAAATTTATCCATAATAATGGACTGGTTAGTAATTTTAGACGTAATATTGATTAAATTGATTAAATGATTCATTATAAATGATACTCATTTTTTATTTAGGTTGGGCACATAGAAGACATTGCCGTTGACAAAAATCAGCAAGGAAAAAAACTTGGCCTCAGGTATTCATAAATCACTATTCACATTTTTAGGTGTAACATGGTCTTAAAATTTGAATGTTTATACTACATTTAGAATTATCCAAGCTCTTAAACACATCGGCGCAAAAACCGGTTGCTACAAAGGTATTTGTTTCAATTGAATTGACGGTCCAGGGTCATGCAGGTCCGTTGATCATCAACCAGTCAAAATCATCAATTTTTTTAATTTTTTTTAAACTTTGATCAAAGGTATTTCGACAATCATCCGATAATATTCAATGAAATTTTTTAAATTTACAGCCTTGTAGAATTCAAATAAAAAAATTTGCGTGGAATTTTATCGGATGTTGTGCTACCAAATTGATGATTCTGATTGGTTGATTACCAATCAACTTGCGTCGATTCGATTGATCTACCCCCGCTTTAATGAAACTCCCTTTTTTGTATTTTGTTTTCTCGTGTAACCTTTTAATACTTTCTAGTTATCTTGGACTGTTCCGAAGAGGTATGTCTGTTAAAAAAAATACCTTCATTTTTCTAGGATATCAATTTTAACTTATTTACACACTTGCAGAATGTGCCCTTCTATGAAAAATGCGGGTAAGGAAATTATTGAATTCCCTTTCTTTTTTTCTTAATACTAACAAGGACTCTGATCTCAATTTTATGCACAGTTTTACTCGAAAAGAATGTGAGATGGTATGGTATATTCCGGATGATACGTTAAAGGCCAAATTATAAAACACACATTAGTCATTTATATAAGTTAACTTTGAAGTTGCCCAGTTTATTATTAGTTTCTATTATAGATTTATTTGTCACAAATATTTATCCCATTCTAATTAAAGTCGTCTATAAGTTTTATTTATATTTGCAAATTTAGATAAATTATTTTGAAATTGATTCAACTTCTTTTACCATTATTTCTATCACGCTTTTCAGTTGATATATGTACGCTTCATTCATATCTGTTGAATAATTAATAAAGTCAATTAATATTCAATTCCTTCATCCGGATCCGGGTCTGGAGGCATGCCTCCATGAACCCGTCTTTTAATACTGACTGACCGCTCATTAGATGTCATAGGAGTAACGAAGGGTGTAGTACGATATTTGGCGTGAGGAACTTTAACTTGAACCGGTGAACCATCGCGTAGCCAAGCGTTAGGCGCAAAAGGCGTTGATTGTATATTGGTATTGGCAAAATTTATCGGTGCTTGACTAGATAAAGTATGATTTTGGCCAAGAAATAATGTGGAAGGGCTGGTAAATATTGATGGACCAATCGTTGATGTAGATGGGCCGATGGTTGATGTAGATGGGCCTGCAGTCGATGTGGAAAGGCCAGTAATTGATGTAGAAGGACCAATAATTGATGTAGAAGGACCAGTAATTGATGTAGAAGGACCAGTAATTGATGTTGAAAGACCAGCAATTGATGTAGAAAGACCAGTAATCGATGTATAAGGGCCAGTAATCGATGTAGAAGGACCAGTAATCGATGTAGAAGGGCCAGTAATCGATGTAGAAAGACCATTAATCGATGTATAAAGACCATTAATCGATGTAGAAAGACCATTAATCGATGTAGAAGTACCATTAATCGATGTAGAAGGACCAGTAATCGATGTAGAAGGACCAGTAATCGATGTAGAAGGACCAATAATCGATGTAGAAGGACCAGTGATCGATGTAGAAGGACCAGTGATCGATGTAGAAGGACCAGTGATCGATGTAGAAAGGCCGGTAATTGACATAGAAGGGCCGGTAATTGACATAGAGGGGCCAGTAATTGATGTAGAAGGGCCAAACGTAGACATAGGAACTCCAACTGTAGATGTATTTAGACCAGCAGATGCAGACGTCGTTCCATTTGGAGGAACTGTTGAGTCAGGTACGTGTGTTAATCTTGATGACTGGTTATTAGGTCCATTAGTGACTGGATTTATTATTGGCGCATCAGTACTCTCGTCTAATTCTTTTTCTTTATAAATTTTTAACTGTTAGTATTTATTAAATTTCATCATATTTTGCGAAACAACAATTATAAACTACCTATTTTTGCTCTAATTTCCGCGATTCTATTTTCCTCTTTTTTCCATAGATAATTAACATACCACAATCGTAATAACCCAAATATTAAAAAGACAAAGATCAAATATTCTATAATAAAGTTGATGAATTAAAATGTTGTATATATATGCCATAATTATCGTTTAAGATGCTCACCCACACCATGTATTATAGTAGGAGCGGAACTCCAACGTTGTCCGAGTGTTGTCATAATAAATTCTCTGTAAAAAGAAATACCGAGTTTAGCAATAATTATGATAAATCTAATTTTTGCTCATTCTTACCGGTGAAGTTGGGTAGATGTGATGATGAATAAAAATGCAAATAATCCGACATGATATACAAGAATAGTTTTTGAATTGTTCACATGATCTTGATATTTATTTCTTGGTAGTTCTTGCTTAATAATTAATTGGCGAACTAGAAAAGGTAGTGGAGACTTTTTAGGTGTTCTAGAGATTAACTGTTGTCTTGGTTTAGGATAAGGTGTAGACTGTACAAGTGCTGATGTTTCTGCTTGTCGAGACCGTATTGAGGACTCTATTGGTCCTGTTGTTAGGGGTCTGATCCTTTGAATATCTTTCATGGCTATTCAGTAAATATTCATGAACCTTTGTTATTCACGAATATACAAGAGAGACCGTTCTTTGTTACACAAAAATTAAGGCGATGTCACATGCTTTTCGCCAATTGATAACAAGGGAAGCCGAATTTTTATGTATAACGTTAACGTTAAATTCATATCGCGTAAATTCAACCAATCAGATGATTTGTAACCATCAAAATTTTTAAAGCCAAAAAATTTAGATTAGATTAGTTTAAAAATGTTAAAATAATATATATATACAGTATATATATTGTATATACTGTAGTTTATACGCACTATTTTGTTAAAACCCCAAAACAACAAAATTTATATAGTATTCAAATATAATTATACGTATATACTAGATTATGAAATCTAAAGTTTTTGATAAAACAATACATTATTTTTTTTAATTTTAATTGGTTACTTAAGAATGCCAATGGGCATTATTTTGGAAAAGCTTTGATTTTTGAAATAACACCCATACCCATTATTCAAAATTTTACTATTAGTTAATTAGGGTAGCTGCACGACATAGTCGCGCTTAAACCAGGAACGTAATGATAATAAACCTACAAATTATTAAATATAGATAGTAAATATATAATCTAATTTATAAAGTAATTTAGCTTTACAATTCAAAATATGTATGATGTTTATTAAAATTTTTTTTTCTAAAAAAAAAAAAAAATATATTTAATTTCATCTTCGTTATACCACGTTTTACTCTTATTATAAAAATAGCTAATAAATCTAGAAAGTTTAAAATCAAGAAATTCACAACTAATACTAATGTTAACTACTAAAATATGTATGATATTTATAAATCTTTTTTAGTATTGCTAGTTAAAAGTTCGCTTCTGATAGAATTATAACCAATTCCTGCATTAATTAACAAACTGCTCCAAGAGCGTACCACGTCAAAACTTTCAAAATTTTTAGCTTTCAAAATGGTTTCTGAAAAACTTATATATTTTCTCTTTATACTACTAAAAAAAATTTCAAAATAAGAAACTTTGATATTACAACTATCTAGAGTAATGTATATTTTATACAATAATGCCATATATTCTTTTTCATAAATTAGTAAACTTTCTTCTTTTGGCTTGGCATAAAGATCAAGATGCTGTACAAGAGTAATATTTGCCTATATATTAAGAATTATTTTAATTTTCAAAATTTTATTTTGTATAAAAGAGAAAAAAAAAAAAAAAACCATAATACAAGGATATTAAATTTAATAGTAATAATAAATTTTACTTAACAATAGTTTCGAATATTATATACATAAAAGGTTTATTAAAACATATATATATAAATCAGATATATAGGGGGCTGCCAGTAGAAACCAAGCAAATTGTTTTAAGTTTTTTTAAAATTTTAAATCAAAATATCTCAACAACTATTAAACCAAACTTGATAATTTTTTTTTTATTTTAATTCTATAACTACATAAAATTAAAATAAAAAAAAAATTATCAAGTTTGGTTTGATGGTTATTAAGATATTTTATTTTAAAATTTTAAAAAAATTTACTTAAAAACAATTTGCTTGGTTTCTACTAGCATTCTCTTATATACTACTAATATAAATAAATAGATTTGTAGATATTATTATATTTGACAAATTATTTTAATTTATACAAATATTTAGTATATCAAAAAAGAAATATTATAGCTAAATTTTTTAACAATTTAAAAAAAATTTTACAGCCTTCTTTTTTAATTAAAAATTTATTATCCTTTAACATTATAAATAATAAAAAAAAAATAGTTATTCAAATAAAAATTATACTAATTTAATTATAAATAGTAAACTAGTTGAACTAGTTAAACTAATTAAAAAATAAGTTAAAGAACCTAGTAAAAAAATTTTTAATAATTTGATTAATATAATTAAAAAAAATATTTATTACAGTATAATTTGTCAAATCCGATATACATGATAGCTAAAATTTGTATCAGATTTGACAGGTTATCAGATTTGAAAGATTAATGATTTACTAGTTATATAATTATAAATGATTATAATTGGTTAGATTATATTTATTATATATAAATTTGTTACTCAAAATATAATTTGAGCCAATCAAATCAATTTAAATTACCTTTCAAATTTGATATATTATAAATATTTGATTTTTTAAATATCAGTTATCAGGTTTGATAGGTTATCAGATTTGGTTTAAGAAACAAGTATAGTAAATTAATTTTTTATCAGTTTTGACAGGTTATCAGTTTTGACAGGATCAGATTTGACAGGTTCTACTGTATTTTTAAAAAAAACAAAAACTAGCTAGCAATATTAAATAGTATAAAATAGTAAAAAATTAGAGTTTTTATTTATTATTTAATTATTCATTTATCTATTGGATATCCAGATCTGAATTTATTCAAATATCCGTTTTATTATTGATATCTGAATAATTATCTAAATATTTGTTAAATTATCTAGATACTAATAATAAATAGATATTTAAATAAATTTAAATATAAATAAATAAATGATGGATTTATCTAAATTAGATCTCTATAAAAATCTTTTGAATTAATTTTTAAATTAGTCAAGAATATTAAAAAATATTAAAAAAAAGAACAATACTATTAATATAATAAGATATAGTAACATAGTGAAATAGATAAGTTGTCACACCTCCAAGCAAGTTTAATTCAAAGATATAGAGTTTGAATCCCACTGACAATACTTTAAACAAAATTTTTTGTATTATAGTAACAGATCTTCATCGATAGATTGGGTTATATACTTGTAACTTTAGTCATACCAATATAGTATTAGAAGGTTCTAGAGTATTTGTGTAAAGTATACAAACTAGTATTGGTAATACAAACCTACAATAAGTTCTTGAAACTATAAAAAACTAATATAAAAAATTCAAAGAACCAAAACTGGCTTGGCAAAATCCAAGTTTGAAAATAACTAGATCTTTGATAATACTCTAAAATAGAATTGGATTGCTTTAAAAAATTAGTGAAAATAGTTAACAAAAAACTTTTATAGATTTAGAGTTTTACCAACCTGGCTGCCAAAGTTACACTAGAGAAAAAAGATATATGCTCTAGAAGTATGTATTAAGAGAAGGGTGCTAAAAGGCATATAAAGCCTTGGTGAGACCAACTCTGCTAAGCTAACTAGATTAGTAAACTGATAAAACCAAAGATATGAAGTATAAAAACTATATAGAGGCAGTACTAGAGTCTAGTAAACCAAATAGCAATTAGTAATAGTAGGAGTTATAAAAAATAAGTGTGTTCCAACTCCAAGTATTAAGTAATACTATGCATAAGTTACTAATTAAGACTAACCAAGTATATACAGATGAGACATATACTATGTATAGCCAGAATTACCACTAGAGATAAAGTAGTTCTAATAGTTATATATATATATCTAGGTTATTAGAGGTTTTTATTTATAGAAGTAGAGAGATATAATCAGAGAGTTTAAATAAACAATCTTGTAGTTTGGGCTGTGGTATGGCAGCTAGTATAAAACTCTAAATTAGTAGAATAGCTTAGTTGTAGACTACTTAAATTAGGCACCAAAAGTATATATATAGCTAGTTGTATTCTTATTGTAAATCTTAAAAAATGTAACTTTTAATAAATTAGCAATAAAGTTTAGATCGAATGGAGATTACTATTTAAAAAAAAAAAAAAAATACTATTGATATAAAAAGATCATATAGATAATATTCACTATTTGTAATAATATTTATTTATTTTTTTTTTTGGTATTAAGGTGATCTTCTTGGCCTAGGGACTTTTTATTAGTAATTATTAGTTATTACAGTTACAATGAAGATACAACTAGCCACACGTGCACC